ACCCTGTCTTCAAAGCTAGCAGATTGGTTATTTTGTTTTTCAAAGAAGAGGTGCTGTATACAATTAAAACTTGTTTCTGGTAAACCTCATTCCAGGAAGGATGAGCTTTTAACAAAAGGCTTTTGACAGCTGCAGGCTATTTCATTTTTTTTAATGCCGAATGAAAAATCAATACATTTTTCTGGGTTATACATATTCAGAGCAGGCCTGATATTTCCATTATAATGGAAGGTGGGTGTCGGCACATCTCGCCTGTCAGAGCTGCACCACCGCATTTTCCAAGCCATTGCTAAATATTTCAAACCTGATTTGATTGTGGTTCATGACAGCTAATGTTTCTCAGCTCTTGAGCCTGCCGACCGGCAAGCGGACTTTACCTACCCCTCCCCAAACATTACTCCCTACCTAGAAAAAGGAAAGAACGAGTTCATTCTTTGGGGAATCCCAGATGGGTGCATTCTTGAAGTCCCACATTTGTGGGAGAGCCTTGGGTACAAACACCCTGATTCTTAGGAAACTCTCCAAATTTCTGTCACACCGAGGAGGCGCCGAGAGGGCTTTGTCCGGTCTGAATTAATCTACATTATCCTGTTAAGAATTAGGAACAGAGGGACTAATCTTGATCATTGATTGACTCCCCTTTCCTTCAAGCTGGTAAGCGATTTTTAAAATACCCCCAATGGACACATCATTTGGCCCCTGTTATTTGGGGGAGCAGTGCCATTTTTTTAACAATTGGGACATTTTCGTGGGTGACACTTTTGTGCAGTATGTGCAGTGGGCTGAGTGCTGACTTAGGGATGGTATCACGTTTATTTTGGGCTTCTGCCTGGTGCTTCTTCCACAAGCCAATTTCCAGGTGGTTCATAAAATTGTTACCAATCCCCACGGGGTTGCCAGTTGCCACACGCACCTCGTCACAAGCAGACGTCACTACGGGTAAGGAAGTCACACATTCATCTTTACCAAGAAGCTAAGCACAGTGTATGAAGAGAACAATTTCTGCCTTTGGTGAGCGACACCAGCTCAGTTGAAGGGGAATTTTCTGGGACTGTGGTCTCATTCTCTCAAAAGCCTGCGCTGCCTTAGGAGCCTCGCCTTTTGAGGCTGTGTTTGCCTGCTGGGATGCTTCCACCTGGGAGCACTGCCCCTAACTGGAACATGAGTGATGGGAGCAGGCCAGGTTGGCCCGGCGCTGGAGGTACTGCCTGGGAGCTGTAAGAGGAGGTGGTGGTGGACGCAGGTTTGGCAGAGGCCTTCAGTCACTGTTTTACATGGACATGAAAAGCAGAAAGGACACCAAAAGTTGTCCCCATTTGGGAGGAGTTGTATCATTTCCCTGGGCCTTTCTCATCAAAATAAGACCACAGGAGGTGACCTAGCTTGAGAGCTGTTGTGGGGCATAGCTACCCAGGTGGGCTGCCGCCAGGGCTCTTCCTCTGGGTTCCTGGACAGCTCAGGCCTATCTGGGGTATGCTGGGCCTCCTGCCTCCTGCCTCCTGCCTCCTGTCAAAGGCAAGGGTTGGGCTTGGGGGTTAGAGGTGGCTCATGTGCATAGCATGGAGAAATCATTTGTGGTATTCGCTGAATTGGTTGAAATTAAAATATTACTAAACACTTTCAGAGGAGATGGTGTTGAGGTGTCTGTTTTGGCCTTGTACATGGCATGGTAGCTGTTGTGTTTTGGTGAAGGATAGCGACCCCTTGCTCAGCATGGAAGAGGAATTTTCCAGATAAAACCCACCATCAGTCCAAGTCTTCACTAGTTCCAACCTTCTGTTTGTAGTTGATATTACTGAAAAACAAACCAAGAAAAGAGCAAGCCTTCTGTAAATGACCCCAGCGAGTTCCCACTCGTTGAGGAAAAGGTGAGCCATCGGTGACCTGTGGGCAGAGCTTCCTCCATCTTGGGCCCTAAGGAGAACAAGGCCTTGATAGCAGCCCCAGTAGCTTGCTGTGTAGATAAGGCTGGGGTTCAGACCGGATGTGCTCGTGTCCCCAGTGACAGGAAGACCAAGCTCTTCTGTGGGTGGCCAAAGCCTGGCTCTTGGTGAGAGGACTTGACTTTGAGTTTGGGGACCAATAGAGATACTCACTGTCTGCAAAGCATCATGGGCTTGAGCCATCCAGACAAATTTAGTATCCCTGTTTTTAAATAATTTCTCTCCCTTTATTGGTATTCAGAGCTCACAGTTTTCCGGTTACTGTCAGCCTGGACTCTCATCCATTTTAAAGAACATTTTCCCCCTCTCATCATTGATGATGATGGTATAGAGACAGATGGTGTAACTGCTTATGAATGTCCTATTTTATTTTTTCAGGACCAGACAGTTCACTTGGAGATGTATATTATTTCCACATGCTTAGGTTGGGCTGCCCAGACTTGTCTGCCTCTTACAGCCAGCTGCCCTCCCGGCCTTGCCATGCAGAGGGCGACACCTGTAGGTGATAGGTGGAACTGCAGGGAAGCGCCTGCTTGATGGAACAGGACCTGGTTTTCAGCTGAGGTGAAGGCACCTGATCGCCTGCCCGCCTGCCCGCCTGCCCGCCTGCCCGCCTGCCCGCCTGTCTGCCTGCCTGCCAAGGGAACTGACTGGTCCACAAGTTTCTTACTCGTTTCTTCTTCTGTCACACAGACAACAGCCTTTTAGTGACTTATCCCCAAACAATGCTAAGACTAGCAATCCAGGAAGATCTTGACTTGTAAATCCTGAAGAAAAAACAAAGTAGCAAAATGAAATAAATTCAGTGGTTTATCCTCTCACTGAGATTGAGCTGCTTTCACTTCCTGCTTGCAGTAGAGCAGAGGGAGGGGGGGAAAGCAAGGGCCCGACCCCGACTGAGGGCTCCGGGGGCCTTTGCGGAGTGCCATGCCGTTTCCTGGCTCATTGTGCCAGAGAACAGGTTATTCTTTAGTTTCGATCATCTGGATAGATTTTTTTTTGGAAAGGCTCAATAAACTGGAGTCAGTGCCAGGTGATACCGAGTTTCTAACTCCATGTTCTGCCAGCTGTGTGCCACTCGATCCACAGGACACAGGAGGTGGCTGCTCAGTAGGTAAATCTTTTCCTTCTCTGCTGGGTGGTGAGTCAAGACTCCGTTGATCAGCACGTCTGGCTGTTCTCTAATTGTAAACATCAGCCTCTCTTCACCTCCGGGCGCGCACACCAGCGTACCCAGGTACAGAGGGAAAGGAAGGACCACTGAGCCATCACTTTATGTAAATTTGATTCATATCACCACTACAGATATTTTATGTCACAGCCTCTACTGGGACGAATGAGTCTGTTTTAGGAGACCTAGCTAATTTGGGTTGATGCAGTTTAATAATATTGATTGACTGTGTGCTGGTATCACCGTTGAAAGATAAGTTGGATAATTATAGAGTGGAATAGTTTTATGGAAAGCCTAAAAATATGCATGGAGCGTCTTACCTGAGCGTAAGTAGATGGTGTCTCTATCTTGCTGTATAACTCGCTTATTGCTCTACTAACATATATTATTTCTTTAGTAAACAGTGTATGTTGTTAATAGTGGACTGTCCAACTGATTAACCTCAAGCCATGGTTGCCTGATTTTTTTCTGTGTGAACTAATAATGGTAGGGCAAGGAGACGTGATGCTCACTACTACGCAGCAAGACAGAAGCCTTCAGAATTTTATGGGGAGCCTTTGGCTGGAGATTTGAATAAGCATTTTGTTTCACCAGGGTTCCCCATGACCACCGTGTAAACCACTTCCTGTTGGTATTGAGAGAACGTTCTTTGACTTCTAGCTAAGTATTCTAGTTGTTGGGCCTCCATCATTCTGGATGAGTGAGGAAAACCTGATTCTTCATTGAGTGTTTTAGAAACCCTGTGAGGTCCATTATTTTAACTCCTCTTCCTTCTACAGACCCTGTGAGGTCGATTATTTTAACTCCTCTTCTTTCCTCCATCTAGTGAAAGGCAGAGGCTGTTTTCTAGAGTGGCAGGGCGAGGGCAGAACACCTGAATGATTTAAAATAGGGTTGGAGAGATCCATAGTAGTATCAGGCAGAACTTTAGGCAGTGTTTTAGATTATAGCCTTAATCCCTGGGTCCTTCTGGGTCTTATCTGGTCCTAAACTCAGGTGACAGATGTGGATGTCCTTGCTCTCATGGCTCTGAACCAAGAAAAACATGTTCTTAAGGGTCTCTTGAAGAATTTTATCATTACGCAGATGACTTACATGGTTTGTCTGCTTCATTCATGCACACATGCATGCATGCGTTCAGACTGAATGCCCCCACTGGGCAGATGCTGTTTACTTTATAATCAACCTAGTTTGGAAGTAACCATTCTTCTTACCTTTGCCACAACACTTATTTGCTGAACTAAAGAGACATTTCTTGCATTAGTTTAAAACTAGTCATGACTGTTCAGATCTCTACTTCTTGGCTTCTCGTCACTGGTTCCAGCATATTCACAGATGATGTTGTGTTTCTAGAATGCTTTGTGTTGGTATAGTCATATCACTGATAATTCCATGGCTCTTCATAATATGAATGACGTGCAAAGACCTCCCACTACAGTCAGGCCTGTGCATAGGTAGTGCCATGCCACCCCAGAGCCAGTGACTAGATCTGGTCTAGTCCAGTGCCAGGACACTCTGAGGATGGAGCTGGGTGAGGAGCAAACACATGGCTGCAGTTGTGCCTTTTCAAATGTGTGCACCTTTGGGGTGGTGATGGAGTTATCGCATCACCGGGATTATGTCTTCATTTGGAAAAGCACCAGCATGGCCTTCGGAATCTCTTTGGGAATACCAGATGGCCCTGTGTCTGGAGCAAGTCCCAGCCTTGTGCCAGCTGTTTCTGCAGACCTGCGTGTGCTTTAAGCACAGTCAACCTGGGAAGAGAGAGGAGGTGCAGAGTCACTGGTGTCTGTGTTTTGTGCTTGCTAATTCATTGTAAGAGGGACAGAAGGGTCATGCATGGTGTTTTGAATCATGGACATTTTTTCTTTTCTTCTCTATTTCAGAAGAAGCCATTGAAGATGTTGAAGGCCCTAGTGAGACAGCTGCTGATTCAGAGGAGCTTGCTAAAGACCAGGAGAGTGGAGGCGAGAAAGACCAGAACAAGTGGACAGGTAGTGTGCAAGGGCGCTTGTCCCCTCTCCCCGGAGGAGTGAGGCTAACAGATCAGAGAATGGTGCATACTTAACCCTGTGGGCTAGATGAACAATTTTCTTTTGCTTTTTTAAGTGGTCACATTCAGTCTTCTTTATTAAAGAGTTTTTAAAGTTTTTTTGGCCCTACGGCCAACTTGTATATTGAACATCAGGTATCAGGCTCTGTGCTAGGGAATTCTGGGAATTCTGTGCTAGGTGTCATTTCTTAGGTAGTTCTTCCATGTTGTTTTGCCCTTTATTTCCTTCTTCCTCTGTCATGGGTCCAGCCAAGAGATTTGTTCTGGGGAGCTTGGTTGGAGCACCTGATTCTCAGCCTGGAGATTCTCTCGGGCATTGAGCAGTGAAGGGTGGTCTTTGTCCCGCACTTGGGGCTTGGGCAGGGTCCACACATTCTCCCTGTGCAGGTCCACCCCAAGGGCCAGCACTTGCGTGCTGTAGTGCAGCGCTAGGGCCAGTGGGCAGCGAGCACAGCCAGACACGCGGACAGCTTTACGGAAAGCAGAAGCAACCGAAGGGACCAAGATAGGAAGTGCTATTTTTGGAAAAACTGGTGCTCAGAGAAGGGGAACAACCATTTCTCAAGATGATAAGATTTCTGTATTGAGGGAAAGAAGTGTTGAGACAAAGAAAAAAGCCCAGATTTTCTGGAGAAGAGCAAAGGCTTTTCTGAGAAGACAGATAAGTCTCCCAGGAAGCACCACAATAAGAGGAAGTGACATGACAGGCAGCAGAAATTATTTTATTTGGTCAACCTAATTATTACTATCATTATTAATATTGTAATACTTGTGCAGGCTTTTTTGAGAAAATATTTACCTTCTAAGGTCTGTATTGGTTGGGCCTTTGTTACTTTTCCAGGCAAGACTGTTCTTAAATCATGTTCAGTGTTGGCCTTCACTATTTAAACAAGATACTGAATCTTGGAGAGAGGCCAGAGGAGAGCAATGAAAGTGACTGAAGGCTGAGAAATACTGCCTCTGAGGAGGGGCTGAAGAAATTGGGGCCGTTCAGCCTGGGAAGGAGAAAGTCGGGAGGCAGCATGACGGCTTCCAAGTATCAGGGCCATCCGGCAGGGGCTGTGGCGTGCTGCTGTTCGGTATTTCCTGGGAGATAGTGATGGGCCAGAGCTGCGGCTGAATGAGTGGAGGAGCCCCGAGCGGATTCCACCATCCGAGCTGTTTGCTGCCTCTTGGGAATGAGGCTCTGTGGGGTGCAGAGGCCTGTCCTTGAGATAACTCTGAGGGGCAGGGGCAGGCATGCTGGGGGTTAGGGGGCACTTGTACTGTCAGAAGTAAGATAGAGCCTGGATATTGTGCTCCCCGGCCCCCTGGATGCAGAAGGGGCACTTCCGCCCACAGCATTCTACCTGCACCAAGATCTGCGTTTTTGCAGTGACATTAAGGGAGCTAAGCGAACGGTTCTGCTGGCTATCAAGTACCCAACTGGAGGAGGTAAATGGAAGAGGATTTCACTAACCATTTAAAGACTGGGTGACCTTTTGGGCCATCTGTTCGTTGTCACAGATTAGGCGGTTGGTTTCTAATCATGACTCTGCCACATATAGGCTGTGTGACTTTGCTTAAGGTGCCTTTACTTGTCTTTATCTTTTTGTGCCTCTGTTTCATCAGAGGAAACAGGGATTAAAAAAAAAAAAAAGTACCTGTTGCCATAGAATTGTTGCAAGGAACATCTGCACATGGGAAGCAGAGACCAGGGCATAGCACATGGGAGGCTGTAGGTAAGAAGCTTGACAGCTTCAAGAAGACGAAGAACACTGAGTAGCAGCTTTCTATCTGGCCTTCCACATGAACATAAAACTGACCTTGGGCAGCACGTGGCTTCTGGGAATTTTGAAAAGCCGGCAGGTACAACACACAGGATTTAGTAGGACCACGTAAATGATATGTGGTGCATATGTTTCCTGTATTCTGTGTGCTGAGTGCTATGAAAACAAAAGGCCATTGTTTATAAAGCTCCTACTATGTGTAGCACCCTATGTTGGCATCATAAAGATGGGCTTCTCAAACCCAGTGCTTACAACCGGTACGGGGTGGGCTTTGTTGAGGGCAGCTCAGTAAAGTCTTACTCAGCATGTCTATAATTCAGGAGGACTGTGTCTTCATAGTACCAGTGGACACAATCGGGAGACCACTAAAAGACCTAAAATCAGAACCATAAAGATGAGCGTCCTTAGTAAGGCTGCACTTTCTCGTGCATTTATTCAAGCAATGGGCTGACTTAACCTTTACCTCCAAAAGATAGAAAGAACGAATATGAATGAATGCCAACCTCAGAGGCGCACCTCTCCAGGTGAACAGCAGGAGGAAGAGAAGGGAAAATTCTTTCCTGATTCCGGCAAATGATCCTCTTTGGACCCGAAGCATAATTTTGTCCATAGTGTCTGAGTGTGTAATGACAGGTTTTATTAAGGTACTTGGGCCAGTTTGATCCTGGAATCGATGTAGGTGCCAGTAACCTCTTCTGAGCTTTCTTTCGGATCCTTAGCATTTTATATAAAATACCTACGTTTGTTCCATTTACTCCCTAAATTGAGCTGTTCCTAGCTGATTAAATGTGATGGGAAGTGCTTCCTCCTAGCAAATAAATAGTGATTTCACAATTTGTTCTGTTGATTAGTAGCTGCTCATGATGCAGATTAATAATATTTCAAATGGGCCCGGATAATTGGCATTTTCTCAGTTATTGATTTTGTTTGTGGGGTTTGGGGTTTTGTGCAGTAATGGGTAATCCTTATTAAAACTTTTTAGTTGTCTATTTTTTATTGCAATGGGACTCCTGATGTCCTCTCTTGGTACCTCTCTTTGGGAGTCTTTCACTTAGATGTGCAAGATAGTGATTTGGTCACAGCAGGCTCACTTCTGTGATCCATGGCTGAGGCTCTACACTGGGCAGGGCACTGAGCAAGGTTCCCCTGGGGGTGAGTGGGTGAGTCCAGACCTTGCCTGCCTTCAGGAAGCGCAGCGCCCCACTAGGGGTTTCAGCAGCGCCCATCATCATGAGGTTAGAATCGCTATAGACCAGCGCTGTCTGCTGGAACTTCCTGTGCTGAAAGAAAGGTTCAGCATCCGTGCTAAACAGCAGTGGCCATGAGCCACAAATGGCTGCAGAACAGTGGAGACAAGCTAGTGCACTGAGGAACTGAAGTTCAGATGTTAATTTGAATTTGAATAAGTAAATTCAAATTTAAAGCCACCTATGCAGCTGTAGGTACTCAAAAGGAATGAAGCTAGCCCCAAAGACTGCACCACAGGTGTCACGTTGCCAGTCTTAAGGTTGTGGCAAGTCCTAACCTCATCCTAGGCACCGTCTTCGTGTTTGATGCCCGTTCTTCCTCGTGTGCCATGGTGGCTCACGGGTGCATGGGCACTGCTTGCCATGGCCCTTGGGTCAGCCAGGTGGGCAGAGGGCTTCTGAAGCAGGATTAGTTGCAGCTGAGTCTGTTTAGCCCAACTTGCCATTAACTTCTGTATTTTCTATGATGAGAAGGAAAACTGGGAAGCACTGCTTTCTATGTACTAGTGTAACTCATTTGAGTCTCTCCTCTCTAGGCTGGTCTTGGCATTATAAATACCCTCCTTCTCATCTCTCCCATTCTGCAGGTCTGGACACTGAGCTCTAGAGAACTCGAGCACCTTGCCAAATGGTATACAGATAGGTTCAGATCTGCATGCTGCTTTGCCACCTCCTCAAACCTAGGGCACAGCACAAGTTCTTACCAGCGTGCTGTACCACTCTCTGAGAATAAATGTTCAGGCTCATCATCTGATCTAGTTTTTCTATTTTAGCTCCGGGAGTTGCACTTGCCCAAAGTTGAGCGGTGAGAAGAGTATACGGCAGCCATCTACGTGTTCAAAACAAACAGGACTGGCAGCCAGGAGCATGCCATTTCATAAGTCTGTGTCATGCTCGGCGTGAACACAAGCTGGTGTCATGGGAAATTCTCATCCATTTGGGGTTAGGAAGCCCGCCAGCTAAGGAGTGATCTTGGTTGAGGAACTTGGAAGACTTGTAGCCTGGGGTATCTGATCCACCCCCAGCCCCAGCCACCTACAGGTTCCGTAATGCTCAGTGGTGACGTAAAGACAAGCCCTTGGTAAAAAGGGGGGAATTTAGTTAAGGTATATGTGGTGCTGTCTTACGGGCCAGTGGTAGGGGAAGGGACGAGGAAGACATGGGCATGTTCTTTGAAGCCAAGCCTGTTCCCTAATGCAGTTATGTGCACTGTCCAACTTTGTGGTTTTCCCTTTTGAAATGGAAAAGTGAGCCCTTGTTGTCTTTTACCGAGCGGATTTGAATGTGTGTGTTCTAGACTGAAGAGCCCCCAGTGTCAGCCACTAAACAATGATTAATTCAGTGATTAGCCAATCAATCATTAATTACTGTAAATGAAGTGATATACAATTAATGTGATACTTTATCACCAATAATTAGGAGGAAAAATTGAACTCTTGGCAAAGAATCATAGCAAGATGGGTATTTAAATGCTGTAGCTGCCATGGTCCGCAGCCACAGCGCGCCACGCTGGGTGTAGTTGAGGTAATTTGAGACATGAGGACAGGGGGTATTGGTGCTTTTTTAAAAGAGGGGGGTGTGAAGAAATAGCATGGCTTAAAATAACACCATGATGAGGTTTCAGAAGTCCTTAACTGACGTTCATGTGTATATTTCTGTAAATTTTTCAGTTAGAAAAGTAGTTTCAGTGTTTTCTTTCTATAATTGCCTGCAGGGATTTATCTTTTTTTTTTTTAATCCAAGATGCTCACCCAACGTAGCCATGAGTGCAGTGGGGCATCCCTGATTTTGGGTTTCTGGAAGATTGCTATTAAGGGAGGTCTTAATGGGTTGGCAAGTTCTTGGCGACTGTTAGGGAAGAGTGTGTTTATGGAGTACGGGGCTGGCAGGCATGATTTCAATCGGAGTTGACATGTTTAACATAA